AGCCACATCTCCAGCTCATTTTTTTGTTTGTATTTTATTTAGAGAAGGATCTCGTTGAGTTCCTTAGTGCCTCACTAAGTTGCTGAGGCTGGCTTTGAACTTGCAATCCTCCTGCCTTAGTCTCCCCAGCTCTGGGATTACAGGCCTGTGCACTGCACCCAGCTCCCTACCTTTTTCTTTTGGACCATAAATTCTAATTATAGTTTTTAGGCTTTTATTTTTTTCTATATTCAGATAGATTATTGAAAGTGCTTTTGCAGTTACTCCGATGGAATAATATAGTCTAGTGGTAGAGTGCTTGTCTAGCATATACAAGTTTGTGGAGTTAGCCCCCAGCACTGCAATAATAATTAAAAAAAAAAAATACACAATTTCTTTTACAGGTTTCATTCTGTATTATTAAAATAAAACAAGCATTTCTGGTTTCAAGTGTTTGAATTGTGATATCTAAGAATAAATAAGCATTTAAGTTAGGGAAAACAAGAAGATTAAAACAATAATAAATTTTACTTCCTATGACTTGTAGGCCAAATAAATATCTTTCTTTTTACACTTTGCCTTTCTAAGTAATTTCAAAGTACATGAAACTTACTGTTTTCTCATTATTCTTATAGGATATATGAATTTATTTAAATGGATGTTTGGGGCTGGGGTTGTGGCTCAGTAGTAGAGTGCTCGCCTAGCATGCATGAAGCACTGGGTTCCATCCTCAGCACCACATAAAAATAAAAAAATAAAGATATTATTTTCACTTAAAACTAAAAAAAAATACATAAATTTTTAAAAATGGATGTTTGCATGTGATTAGTTATATGTGTTTGGATTTAAAGGAATCTACTTTTAGTGCATGTTGAAACTAAAAATTGAAATTCATATTTAACTGCAAAGTAGTAATAGACAAATAATTTAAGTTCCATGAGACTGCATGTCTTATTAATCACTGTACATGTCAAAGACATGAGCAACCTGAATATTTTTTCACTTACTTTTGTCTTCTTATTAACATTTTAAATATCTCATGAAGTCTAAGTTAAGGTCATTTGACTTATTTCTTAAGGCCTAAAACCTATACATGTATAAATAGCAGTCACTACCACACTTACTTTGAATTAGCAACAATTATATAATGTTTTCAAGATTTTGCAGCAGCCATTTTTGGTAGTTTTTCCATGTTGTTTTCCTTCTAAAGAAAGTTGTTAATGCTAAAATTTAGTAGGATTCTTTAGCATTAGGAGTAGTATGTATATGTTTTCTCTTTTGGCTAAAACCCAGATTTCTCAGTGAATTCTTCCCTCTCAAGATTGATTTTAAAATTTGGCCTTCAAATAACCTAAATATGATTGTTTGAATTTTGCCAGGCAAGAAGAGTTGGACAAGACACCAATGATAAAGTGTTCTGATTTTTAAGACATATCTACCACTACCATTTCAAAATCAGAAAAAAACCTTCTATTTTTAAAGATGTACTTGTTTAGCCAGACTCCATGGTACACACCAATAATCCCAGTGCCTTAAGAGGATAAGACAAGAGAATCATGAGTTTGAGGCCAGCCTCAGCAACTTAGCAAGAGCCTGTCTCAAAACAATAACAAGGGCTGGAGGTATAGCTCAGAAGTAGAGCACCCTTAGGTTCAAATCCCTAGTATCCAAAAGAAAGGTAGACGGGGAGTGCTTGTTAAATCTTTCTTAAATATTAAGTAGCATTCTAGTTTAGCTTACTAGACCATCATAGTGAACCATTCTTGTATTTAAAAGAAATGTTATAATTAATTTGCCTGGCTAAAAATACTTTCTAAAATAAAATGTTTAACCACAGTAATGTTGACCACATTAATTCAGGTATTTGGGTTATAAAGTGACTATATAGTTTTCTGACTTTTGTTGTTTATTTTTATTTATGTATGTATTTATTCATTTTTGACCTAGGTGTTATATGAACTTCCCACCAACACACAGTGGTGCTTTGATATTCAATGGTGTCCTCGAAATCCTGCTCTCTTATCAGCTGCTTCCTTTGATGGGCATATCAGTGTTTATTCTATCATGGGAGGTAGCACAGATGGTTTAAGGCAGAAACAAGTTGACAAGGTAATAGGAAATGTTAAAACAACAACAACAACAAATCATATAATTATTTTGACAAAGATGATTGGTCAATAATGCTGATTTATTGAATAATTATCAAAAATTTTTCTTGGGTATGACTTGAAAAAAATGCATCATAGTTTGTAAGTTACTGATTCATACTTTTTTTTTTTTTTAAAGCTTTCATCATCTTTTGGGAATCTTGATCCTTTTGGCACAGGACAGCCGCTTCCTCCATTACAAATTCCACAGCAGACAACTCAACATAGTATAGTGCTGCCTCTGAAGAAGCCACCCAAATGGATCCGAAGACCTGTTGGTGCTTCCTTCTCAGTAGGTGCATCTTGGTTTATGGTTCATAGAAACAAAGGAGTTTTCATAGTGAAGTGTTATAGAATCATTCAGATGGAAAAACTTGGGTTGAGATGGATTTGTGGAATGTTCATCATTCAAAATATTTTCTTAGAAAAAAGTGGGGACCTGCCAGGCACGGTGACACACGCCTTGTATTCCCAGTGGCTCAGGAGGGCTGAGGCAGGAGGATTGTAAATTCAGAGCCAGCCTCAGCAAAAGCAAGGCACTAAACAACTCAGTGAGACCCTATATCTAAATAAAATATGAAATAGGGCTAGGGATGTGGCTGATGTCCTTGAGTTCAATCCCTGGTACTTCCCCACCCACTACCACCAAAAAAAAAAAGAAAGTGGGAACCTACTTTATTTATTTTTTTTTTTTTTTAATTGTGAGCCAGGTGTGGTGACTCATCTATAATCCCAGCTAGTCAGGAGGCTAAGGCAGAAGGACTGCAAATTCAAGGCCAGCCTGGGCAACTTAGTAATATCCAGTCTCAAAAATAAAAAGAGCTGGGGAATGTAGCTCAGAGATAAAGCACCCTGGCTCAATCCCCAGTACCAAACAAATAAATAAATAAAGAGAGTGCATGCATGTGCGTGCAAGTAAATGAAAAAGCAGAGGGTCTCGTTTCCCAACATCCACTCCAACACCATTTTCATGCTTTTTTATTTATTTTTTGGTAGTAGCATCATAATGGGTGTGGATGTTTCATGAGGTTGTATTTCTCTGATGATTAGCGATGTTGAGCATCTTTTTGTTTGTTGGCCATTTATATATCTTTTGCCTCCTGCTATGGGGTGACTCAGCATGAAGGCCCTCACCAGATGCCAGGACCTTGATTTTGAACTTCCCAGCCTCCAGAACTGTGAGGTGTGGTGACACATGCCTTCTTCATTACATTTATTTCTAAATATTTTCTTTTAAGCTATAATAAGTCCTCTTGTTCATAAATTTCTATGACTCAGATATTCTTTTATAGTAACACAAAGTAGACTAAGGCAGTTTCCTTTGCTATAAGAAAGTCCCATTTATCTGTTTTTGCTTGTGTTGACTATTTTTTTGGTGTCATATCCAAAAATCATTGCAAATCTATTGTCTAAATTTTTTCTTTGTTTTCTTCTAGTAATTTTATAGTACCTAGTGTCATATTTAGGTTTTTAATCCATTTTGGAGTTGATTTTTGTGTATGATATAAAGTAAGGGTCCAACTCTGTTTTTTTGAACGTGAATGTCCAGTTTTCATAAACCAGATATTTACTGAAGAGATTATCTTTCTCTATTGTGTGATCTTGGTGCCCTTTTCTAAGATCATTTGACCATATATGCATGAATTTATTTTTGTGTTTTCCATCTGATTCACTGATTTTCATGTCTGTCTTTGTGCCAATACCACACTGTGGATTACTGTAGCTTTGTAATAAGTTTTGAACTCAGGAAGATTGAGGCTTCCAGCTTTGTTTTTTCTTTAGATTGCTTTGGATATTCAGCATCCTTTTAAGAGTCCCTGTGAATTTTATAATTTTTTTTTCTCTTCCTGAAAAAAGTGCCATTGGGATTTTATTTATTCATTTATTTTTGAGACCGTGTCACTTTGTTGTCCAGGCTGGGGCTCAAACTTCTTGGCTGAAATGATACTCTGACTCAGCCTCTTTAGTTGCTTGGATTATAGGTTGGACACCACTGCGCACAACCTCATTGTGATTTTGACAGGGATTGCATTGAATCTATAGATGGCTTTGGATAGTATGGACATTTTAATAATATTGTTTTCCAATCCATGAACACAGGATATCATTTGTTTCTACCTTTCTTTTTTTTTTTTTTTCAGTTTTGTACTTGCCATGTACAACTTATCTTCTTTATTTCTAAATCTTTTTTTTAATCTATAATAAGTGGGATGGTTTTCTCAATTTCCTTTTCACATTGTTGATTGTTAGTATATAGAAACAGCTAATTTTTGTGTGTTGACTTTGTTCCTTCAATTTTGCCAAATTCATTTATTGGTTTTAATTATTTTGTGGTATCTGTAGGTTTTTTTATACAAGATGTCATCTATGAACAGAGTTAATTTTCCTTCTTTTTTTCCTCCTGGGAAAAAAGGGATTGAGCCCAGGGGTATTGTACACTGAACTACATCTTTAGCACTTTTCATTTTGAGGCAGGGTCTCACTGAGTTGCACAGGCTGTCCTCAAAACTTGCAGTCCTCCCAAGTCACTGAGATTATGGGGTTTTACCACTATTCCCAGCTACCTCTTTCTAATTGTGATGCCTTTTATTTCTTTTTCTTATTTCTCTACTCTGGCTAGAACTCTAGTACTTTCTTGAAAAGTGGTGAAAGTAGCATTCTTACTTTGTTCCTAGTCTTAGAGGAGAAGCTTTTATATATATTTTTTACCACTGAGTATAATATTAGTTATGGACTTTCCTTATTTGGCCTCTATTATGTTGAGATAATTTTCTTCTTTGTTCATTCCTGATGCTATAAAAAAAATGCTATGAACTAGATAATGTGTAAACAATAGAAATTTATTTCTCACAGTTTTGGAGGCTTGAATTCTGATCAAGACACAAGTAGGTTCAGAATTGGTAAGGGCTCACTCTGCTTCCAGGATGGCAACTTGTTTCTGCATCCTCTTGGGGAATGATTGTTACATCTTCACATGGCTGAAGGCAATAGAGGCTAGCTAATTTCCTCCTGTCTTTTTATGAGGTTTTGTTAATTCCATTCATAAGGGCTCCACCTCTCCTATTGTTATATTGAGATATAAGTTGTAACATATGCATTTTGGAAGGGATATAACAAATATTTAATAAGATAAATTTGTATAAAGAACATAATCTGCCAGGTGCACTGACACATACCTATTTTCAGCTGCTTGGGAGATTGAGGTAGAGAATTGCAAGTTTGAGGCCAGGCTGGGCAACAAAGTGAGACTTTGTCTCAAAAAATAAAAAGGGCTGGGATGTAACTCAGTAGTTGAGTGCCCTTGGGTTCAATCCCCAATATAACTCCCCACCAAAAAAAAAAAAAAGACTGTAACCTATGCTTTCCTAGAATGTGCCTATTTGAACCAGCACTGTGTGGGTGGGGAAAAGGGCCTATATTTCCTTGTACAGAAGTTTTCAGTGTGAAAACCAAATTTGGTTGTTTCTTTTTTTATATATATATATTTTTTTTTATTAATATATTAATCAGATAATAACTGCTTACCATATTAAGGTAATATATCGACTGAGATATTACATACAGTAAACAGTACATTTCATTCAGGAGGTGGGTTCTGAAGATGAATAATAATAATTGAAGTCTGGAGTAAAATTATGGAGCATAGGAGAATATATTAGCTAATTTTATCCAAATTGGTTTATGTGTAGGCCACATTTCTTTAGTCCAGCAAGTTTATAGTATACATATGTTTTGACCATGTCATTGTGGTTAAAATGGATTTCACTCATTCTTCCACAGTTTGGAGGCAAACTGGTTACTTTTGGGAATGTCAAAGTTCACTCTCAGCAGGGAGCTGAGCAGCAGCAGCAGCAACATGTGTTCATTAGTCAAGTGGTAACAGAAAAGGAATTTCTTAACCGATCAGATCAACTACAGCAGGTCATGCAGTCACAAGGATTTATCAGTTACTGCCAGAAAAAAATTGATGCTTCTCAGACCGAGTTTGAGAAAAATGTGTGGTCCTTCTTGAAGGTAAAGTTGATATTTAAAACCATTTTATTTCATTATCTATAAATTTAACTGTTCCTATTCTTTTTATAATTATACAAAATAATGGGATTCATTATGAGGTATTCATAAATGTACATAATGTAATTTGGTCAATTTAATTGCCTGATACTTCCCTTTTCTTTCTCTTATATTCTAAATTTGTCTTCCTATTAAAGAAACAATTGGTAAAGTGTAGTTGCTGGAATTCATGATGAAATTTGAGAAACCTCACAAAGAGCACTCAACCTAAAATTTTTTTTTTTTTTTAAAGAGAGAATTTTTAATATTTATTTTTTAATTCTCGGCGGACACAACACTTTGTTGGTATGTGGTGCTGAGGATCGAACCCGGGTCGCACGCATGCCAGGCGAGCGCGCTACCGCTTGAGCCACATCCCCAGCGCCTCAACCTAAATTCTTATGTCAGACGTTCTTACTTCAATAATTTGACAAACTTAATACAGTATTTTTTTTTAAGGCAATATAGTAGAGATATTTAAGGAAAAAAGACGACAGTAAAACAATATTTTTTTTTTATTTTTTTTATTTTTTAATATTTATTTTTTAGTTCTCGGCGGACACAACATCTTTGTTGGTATGTGGTGCTGAGGATCGAACCCGGGTCGCACGCATGCCAGGCGAGCGCGCTACCGCTTGAGCCACATCCCCAGCCCCTAAAACAATATTTTTTAAAAATAGATTATAAAGCTTACTGTAGGGGGAATAAAATATTTAATATCTATAGTAAATCTAGTTAAGGAAAATGGGAAAAGAGAAGACACATAGAGGACAGAGGCTAGAAGTATCTCTCATCCTCCTATTAAAGAAGAATTTAGAGCTCGGGTTAAAAACCTTTGCCCTCAATTGCATTTTTGACAATAGACTAACAAATAGAATTTCCTTGTTGGTCATTTTTCCCTCCACTGGAATGTCTATTTTTTAACACTGAATTTTCCAAGGAAAAGCAGTCTTGAATACAACAAAGTTTAATTCTAAAATTGTACAATTTATATTTTGTAATTAAGTATGAATTTTGAGAGATGATATAGAATGTTTCATATAGTGTGAATTATGCATTCATATGACCCTTGGGCATGAGTTTAATTTATATTCACTAAAATTAGACATCAAATATAAGCTATATTCAACCAGTATAATTTGTTAGTAGTATAAACTGTTATTTGGATCTCTTTCTAATAAGTGGGCCTTCAGGATTATACATAACAGATTTTAGGTTTTTAAAATAATTTTATTTGGAATTTGATCAATTCTTATAAAAGTTAGTATTTAACAATGTAGGTTTTTGTTACAAAGATGTGTCTTGTCTTAAAAGGTGAATTTTGAGGATGATTCTCGTGGAAAATACCTTGAGCTTCTTGGATATAGGAAAGATGATCTAGGAAAGAAGGTAAACTTGGGGAAAGTTAAATGACTATTCTTAAATAAAATGTTTATCTTTTTTTTAATAAAGTTACACAGATTATCTTTAGTCAGTTATTAAACATTCAATAAAAATTTGTGTTTGGTTACTAAAAGTTTGAAAACATATTGTTAAATGTAAACTCTACTTTATATCTGGATTTAGAAGCTGTCAGAACCACCTTTACTTCAAAAGTTCATTGTCAGAAACAATTGGGCCTTAATAGATAAGGCACTGTGAGTATCAAACTTTGGAAATAATATGTGAAATTTTAATGCAGTGTGTAAACAGTGGCCTTGCCAGAAAATAGTTAGCCACTACTATAGATCTCCCAAGTTCAATACAATGTAAGTGAGATAAATGGTACTATATCAAGCTGTCACAATTTTCCACCCTAGCTATGTTAATGCCATTAGCACATGACCAAATTATGTGTTGATTTGGTGTAATAATAAATAGTAAATATTTTATCGAGTGTTTATTGTATTGAATCTGAATGAATAAAAGTTCAGGTTATTTGCTTAATAGTTCAAATTCTTAAAAAAAAATTCTCTTTTAAAATAAGGAAATCATATTGCAGATTTGTAATGTTCTCAAAAAGTGACTTAATTATTATTGCACACTGTTGACATCAACATCAGTAATGGTAAAAATATATTATGGAAACATTAAAAGCAGTGTCAATGTTATAGTGTCTCTGTAATTCTATGCACTCTAGGTGCAGATTAATGCTTCCTCAGCATCAGACAAATCTAACATATCACAGTCCCAGTATGGTATGTGGGTATGTCTTTGCTTACTCCTTTAGAGTTTTTATGGTTAGCTTTATTATTAACCTAAACTTTCTTTTTTGAGGAGGTATTGGGGATCGAATTCAGTGGCATTCAAATACTGAGCCACATCCCCATCCCTATTTTGTGTTTTTATGTAGAGACAGGGTCTCACTGAGTTGCTTAGCACCTTGCTGTGGCTAAGGCTGTCTTTGAACTCTCGATCCTCCTGCCTCAGCCTCCTAAGCTTTTGGGACTACAGGCATGCGACACTGCACTCAGTTTGTTAACCTAAATTTGTTGATGTTGTAACTTTTCTAGATTTGCAAAAGATTAATATGAAAGTTTATTACATGCCTGATAGCAAAAAAAAGAGAAAATCATATTTGATTGTCATATATTTCTAATAGCAATTCTTTCCATAATGAGTATCTGGAGAAATATTTTTAAAAACAAATTATAATTATTTAAAACAAAGTAGAAGAAAACATACTTGTTTTGAGGCTTGTTTTGTGTTTGAACAGCAGAATAGGATGACATCTGAACAATAGAACTCTAAGCAAATGAAACTAGAATCAATCACTTAGGACCAATGTTAGTTGTCTGTCTTTTTTTTTTTTAAAGTTTTTTTTTAATATTTATTTTTTAGTTATAGGTGGACATAATATTTTGATTTTATTTTATAAAGTGCTGAGTATCAAACCCAGTGCCTCAAACATGCTAGGCAAGTGCTCTACCTCTGAGTCCCAACCCCAGTCCAGATGTTAGTCTTCTTAAACATACTATCCCTGGTGAAAACTATTATGGATTTTTGTCAATGAGAATGAAGAGGTAAATATTTGCTGGATACCCTGAAATAGAATTCCATTTAGTAGGTGAGTTGTTATTTTTATTTCAGATTGCTTTGGCCTTGAACAAAATGGATGGATCTGATGTGGTAAGAAGGTCTTTTAAAAATAATTACTTTCTAAAATTTTGGTTAAGTCATAACAAAAAACTGTGTAATTAAAGAAGTTTATGTTTTGTGCTTTGTGATATAAAAAGAAATGCCAATTTAGATATAATATTTAGTAAATTCATAGTTTTCATCTTAAATAGCTTAAGTTTACCTGGTAGAGCATTCCTAGCTTTTGGCATATTTGAATTTTGTTAAAGAGGAAAAATAGAAAAAGTAACTGCTCATTCTTAAGGCAAAGATCTTTCGTGCCAGATGAGGTTTGGTAGGAAAGAACTGGAAGATGTTAACAGTAATTGTTAGTGGTAGTTCTTTGTTTTTCCTCTAATGTTTTTCGAGTAAATTTACTCTATGTTGCTTCTTATGATCAAACTAGCTCTGGGTGTTTTTGTTTGGGTCTTTTGTCTTCCTTGTTACTAATAACCTTTTAATGCTACATTCTTCAACTTCCTCTGTAATTGTTTTGTGTACCAAAGGCTCTTAAAGATTCTGAACAAGTAACACAGAGTGATGGGGAGGAGAGTCCTGCTGCTGAAGAGCAGGTCTTGGGAGAGGTACTTACTCTTTTTTATATTATATTGGACAATATGTGATCATTGTTATCTCACTTTAAAAAATGGAATATTTTCTTGACTACTTGTTGGAAAATAAGTTGGAGTATACTGTTTGAGGTGTATTTAGGATAGAAATCTATTTATCTAGACTGACAAAAATATGCCAAATTCTAAGTCTCTGACCTGACTTCTGGAATAGAAAGTTTAAAATTCATTGTTGATGTGAGAGATTGACACAATTTGTCAGATGACTGTCAGAATACCAAAATGAAAAGAGATTTTATTCAGAAATCCACTTTGCATTATATGCGAAGTGAAAGGGTTTTTGTTAGCACCTTCCTATTTAGGGCCTACTACTGGTGGCATAGGCTTCTGAATTGGTCCTGAAGTCAGAGTCCAAGTAAAGAATATTTCATTAAACTGTCATGATTTATTATAAATGTATCTTTAAGTTGTGCTTGATCATTTCTATAACTAATTAAAGAGTCCTTGAACACAGAGTTGTATCACTGATTTTTTTTTTCTTTTGATTTTTCTGGAGGTTTTCTTAACCACTATATACTAATCCTATAATTTTCTTTGTTTCAAATTTTATTTCATCTCAAAAAACTAACCAACAAATTCTTGTTTCTCATCTCATCTTTGACTTTTAATTGCTCATTGTGATATAGGGATATCCTGACCGTGAAATATTTTGTATCACTGTTTACTACATATAAAAATAATTTCCCAATGTATTTAAACTACTGCAAAATGACTATTAAAATTTTCCTTATAAGTGGACTTCCTAGCATTTATTTAAAGAAGTAAAGGATGATATGAACAAAATTTTACTAAAAATTTTGAACTAATTTTGGGAATACCTAGAAAGAATTGTAGATATATAAATGTTGTACTTTAATTTTGTACATCTAGATTATGTATTATCAAATAAAAGACCATTTGAGATTATATTCACGAATAATAGGTAATAATAGTATGTATAACGAATCAGTAATTGTCAGTATGTACTTTGAGTACCTGAAAAACGTTGTTTCAAGGGTGTAAAATATGCCCTTTTATCTTTTTTTACCTCCTGAACTCAGAATTGCCTTGCACTTGCTAGACAAATGCTCTACCAGTGAGCTACATCCCCAGCCCTTTTTATTTTTTTTCTTTTGAGACAGGGTGTTACTAAATTGCTAAGACTGACTTAGAACTTGCCATCCTCCTGCCTCATCCCCCTGAGTAGCTGGGATTACAGGCATGCACTGCCACCACCTCTGGCTCTTCCCTTTTATCTTGATATTTTATCAGATGTAGTAGTTTATACCTTTATTTGTCAGAGGTAGTCAGTACATTAAAACTTGTACATTTTTGGCCATATATGTTTTAGAAGTGTGTAAAATAATGGTTAGTTGAGTTTAGAAAGCAATATGGGAAATATTGTTAAATTTTTTTTCTGTATAATTATTAGTGAAAATAATCAGACCTATATCTCTGATTTATTCCTTAATGTGACTGGCTTACCTTCTCAATTATTTTGAGTTTTTAGATTCTAAAATACTTCTCTTTACTTGGTGAAAGCCAGTGAGGGTTAGTTATTCTTTTACTATAGTCAACATTAATTATACTTTTTAGTTGAGGCTGTGCTGTGCTCTGCACTAAAATGACCTAATTCCAAAATGCCTTTGATTTTTAAATACTGGGTGTTTTTCCATTCAGTTGTGTAGGTAACACAAGCATAGAAGGCAGATATTTTATCTCATAGATGAACTGCATTTTTCTTTAAAAAGGGAAGATTTAAAATATTTGTGTAGACTTAAAAATTGAGCATTTCTAATCTAAAAGTCTAACTAAAATCTTTTGGGATTTCAGCCAGGCATGCATGGTCACACATACCTGAAATCATAGCTACTTAGAAGGCAAGGAGGTCACAAGTTTGAGGTCAACCTAGACCACTTTGTGAGACCCTTCATAAAAAAGTAAAG